CAGCCATACCAAAAGTAAATTACAAATCAACTGAACACAAAAATGTTCAAATATTTCACTTTGTGAAAGATTTGTAGAGGTACACGGGATTTTTATTAATTTTGGATTGAGTGAAAGTTATTCATAGATAATTCCAATTTGTATTTGTTTCTGTGTAAAATGTTATTTTCATAATGTCAATATACTAACTGTGTAAATGAAGTTTTTTCTTTGTATCATAACTTAAGATTACTTTAGGAGTATTTTGACAAAAGATTAGAAGTTAAGCGTTCGCACGCGAGACCAAAAGCCCTGCGTTTGTGAATGCACACTACTAAGGAGTCCCGTTATGCAACGAAATGGCCGTCCAGTGCTTCCAGGTTTTTCATGGTGGTCTAACATCAACCAGTTCATGATCTTAATCAAAATTCAGCTTTGACTTCATCAACTTGTATATCTACAAGTATAACGTAGTTAAATCATGATGTAATAAACCATTGAATTAAATGTATCTGTGTAATAATCCATAAGTTTTAGAATATTTTCTATTAAACATTGAAATTTCAAAAATGAACTCAATAAAAAGTTACCTAAACACAGTTCATCTGACCAATTATTGTCGAGAATAAAGTTAACTGCTGAATGAACTGATGTATTATTATTTATTATTTATATAAAGGATATATCAAAGATCATGAGCAAATTGTAAATGGTGTTAGAAATACGTATTGTTTATAAGGGATCAAGTTTGTTATGTTTAATCAAACTGAAGGATACAATGATGAAAGAAGCAAATCTATTGTCTTTTAGAAGAATGAATAACTATGCTTGAGACATTACATTCAACAACTGGTTACCTTTTAGTAATTATCATAATAAATATCAGTTATCTGTTAAATGTTATGATGTTTGACTGATTACTATTTCTTTGATATATATAATTTCAACTTATTCTCTTCAAGAAATTATAGCAGTATGTTAAGCCTACAATTTTGATTTGAATAAACTTGTTTGACAATAGAAGCACAAATGAATGGAATATTCATTTGATTTTTATGATGGTCTATTTTAAGCTGGTGCACTGAATAACTGTTTTGTTTTAACCTGTAACTCCTTATGAGGGTATCGCTAAGGAAGATAAATTTAGACTACTGATTAGTTCCTCTGTATTGTCAATTGAATAAAATTAAAATTTTGAACAAATAGTTTTTTAATTCAGTGGCTTAGAACATTTCAACTAGTGAATATCTCCTTTATAAATTAATAACTTTATCTCAATACTGTAATATCACCCCAGTATTTATTCTTTCTTAATCGTAGAGAATTTTCTTGATGAAAGCTTCAGTAAACATTTAAACAATAATAGACGTGATACAAATTATATTTTGATTAAAAAAATTGTTGTCTAAAAATACTCATGTAAATTATAGTAAAATTCATCATATGATAACAAACAATGAATTGAATACAGATTCTTCCCATGTAAACAATCATCTTCAATATACATGTGTACAATTAGAAACGAAATATACATTTCATTTTGTTATCATATAAAGTTTGTTTAAATATTCCACTTCATTTCATTTGAAGAATATTTATCGTCTTCCAAACAACTTTACCATAGCGACGATATATATATGTATATATGTATGGATTATTGTTATTTTTAATTGAAAACTAGTCGAAGAAATAGTAGTGGTTTCTTTCTTTTTTTTTTTACTTTATTTACGTGTTATATTTATGAAATGAATAATTCGATTAGACACGAAATTCAATTTCATTTATATGTTGGTTGCTGTTATTTGTTGTTGTTGTTGTTGGGACAACATATGAGTTTCATTTTGTTTCGGTATATTTCACATTATTTTAAATCATGCCTACCAAAATAATAATAATAATAAATATGTAGTATTTATATAAACAAAATTCCATGACAGATTGTTTTGTTTTATTATTTATTAAAAGTATTATTATTATTATTAACGACATAGAGACAAAATAAAAATCTTTTTTTAATATTTTTTTAAAATGATATTCTGAATTTATATTTTTGACAATTTCTATAATGAAAAATTACTGTGATATTTATTGTTAATATGGTGAATCTATTTTTATAAAAATGATGATAAGGTATTCATTCATGAAAGAAACATTTGAAAGGTTTAAATGTATTTCATTTACTTATTTGAAGTTTATAAGTTAAATAAGATTAGAAGAACATACTGTGTATATAAGCACATGTAAGTGTGATCAGTATAATTGATTTGATTGTTGTTGCTGTTGTTATTTTGTTATTCTTTTTAAATAAAAAACGGTCAATACTACTTATTAAGTTATTATTTTGATGAATTGCAATTGTGTAATTGATAGTATTAAAATATTTAATGGGGTTAGTCGTTATGATTTGTGCCAAAAAATAAATAGTTGCTAATGTGTTAAATAAAATTTTATGGTATACGGAATACGTCCATTAAAACATTAAATAATGAAAAGTGAAAAGCTCTTTTTTTCGCGAATTCATTTTGAAAGCTGTAAAATGGCAAATATGTGTACTTACTTATTTTCATCAGGATGATAATAATTACAATAATAATGATAATAAACTTCTGTTAGACATGGTGACAATGAGATAGAATAAACGAAGGTATTCATGAAATTGTTTGTAAACAGGGAAACTAATAATCGTTTGATTGTTAACGGCTTAAATATTCATCAATAAAAAGTTCAATAATCGAATACCTTGTGAACACAGGTCACTTAATCAAGACGGACTCTGCGTTCAATGTTATCTACAAGGTATGTAGAAGTCTTCCAAAGACAATTAGATTGCATCTTCTTGGCGTTACTGAAGCAGCAGCCATAGACCTGAAAAAACCAGAATTATGTATCCAAAAAAGATTGACTCAAACATTTCTACCATGATCTTATTGTCTTACGATTTTTTTTCATACCCTTCTTCCTTTATAGTTATCTGTTTTGCCCAAATGGTTTATTTCTATTTCTACGATCTTCCTGATTAAATCTAGTCTCAGTTTAGACATTTTGTCTTATCACGCTGAGCCATCCTTTCCAAAGGATAATTTCCTTATCTATCTTTTGATGAATATTTAAGTCGTTAACAATCAAACGATTATTAGTTTCACTGTTTGCAAACAATTTCATGAATACCTTCGTTTATTCTATCTCATTGTCACCATGTCTAACAGAAGTTTATTATCATTATTATTGTAATTATTATCATCCTGATGAAAATAAGTAAGTATACATATTTGCCATTTTACAGCTTTCGAAATGAATTCGCCAAAAAGAGAACTCTTCACTGAAACAATCTTTCTTATTTAAATAAAATTTTATTGAACAAATGACTTAATTAGGATATTCCTCAATATTTACCTATCTACAAACAACGAAATAGTGCGCATTAAATTAACGAATATATTTTCGATTTATTTTAAATGATGATAACAGTTATTAACAATAGAAGAGATCAGTAACTATTTATACATTTCGATAAAATAATACCATGGAAAAAAAGACTTTAATTTACATATTTGAATTTAAAACTAACTACACCTTTCTGTTAAACAAATTTATCATAATTTCAAGTTTATTTAACAATCTGTAAACTTTATAACAGATTAAGTAACTGATATCATACTTTATTGTGTTCATAAAAATATTGAAACTGAATAAATTTTTTTCATAAAAATACACTTTTTATGCAAAGATAGATAGTGGCTAGCAGTGGAATCCAGAACGCGCGTTACTTTGAATTTGGGACTCATCAACTGAATGTACCTGCATCTCAGAGTACATGTCCACCCCGGGACTCGAACCCAGTACCGTTTGCTTCAAATGCCATCGCGATATCTGTTTAGCTACTGAGTCCTGATAGCCACCTGCATAAGCAGGTGGCTAAATGGTTAACATGATAGCGTTTGAAGCGAATGGTACTGGGTTCAAGTCCTGGGATGAATATAAACTATGAGAAGTGGGTACATTCAACTGATGACTCATAAACAGAACAAAACTCCCGTCCTGGATTCTACTACTAGCCACTATTCATCTTTGATTAAAAAAAGCTTGTGTTTGAAGGCTATACCGAGGCAATCCACACAGAATGCACATATACCAACATGAGACTGATCAATTGCAGTCCTTAATAACAATGGAAAGATACAAGTAAAACAACAAGTGAATTTAATAAAAAACAAGTGTTCAATGCAGTTATCCATAGTGAATACTTAATTACTTTTATTTATACAATATCGTGGATTTTCTCGTTTTATTTTAACATTTAAACAGCAGGGTGACTTGTAATGAAAATATTGATTAGCATTAAGAAATTGGAAGTGAAATATAACCGTGCCAGTAGTCGCGTATATGTGCTCTGTGACATTAGACAAATAAAGAATTAACTAACGTTCTTTAGACTTCCTGCTTATTATGAGACTTATACAATCTGCAACTGCTTACTGTGGATGAGAACAAACCAACTTTCATCTGAAGAGGAAATTAGGAAAAGACGTTGAAAGTAGATAAAAATACATTTGGATAATCAAACTGCATCACTTGGAATCCTGAAGAGAAATGCAAAACAGAAAGACTAAAGAACACACTACGTCGGGAAATGGAAGTAGATATAAAAAAGGATGAATAGCAACTGGAAGGACCTGGAAAGGATTACTCAAGATAGAGTTGGATGGAGAATGCTGGTGGTCAGCCTATGTTTCTCTACGAGGGTTAACAGGCGTAAGTAAGTTATTGTGAGACTGAGATATTTTTGGGTTTGATTCACGGCTATTTTTATGTGCACAATTGAGAAGTGTCAACCTAGAATAGATCATATGTTACTTTGTGATTGTCACTGAACAATCACTTGGTGTTAGCCCATATTGAAAACTAATTTTATAAAACATTTTTTTGTATACATTTGTTAGTTGAATGTCATGACAAGTTGAAATTACAAAGTAAATACTTTATAATTCATTATATATATATATATTTTTTCATACTTCTAGCCATCTTAGTCCTGATGTACTTGTGGATAGTCCAGATTGTAAAAAACATTCAGCAAAAGTTATGAGAGTAATAAATATGGCTGTTAAAGCATTAGAAGGTGACAGTAAGTCATTATATGAAGAATTGGCATTACTTGGAGCAAAACACGCTGCTATAAGTAATATGAAAATTGAATATTTCAAGGTTAGTTATGTAATCTATATTCCATATATTCTATTTAATTATAAACTAATCACAGAAATTACATTTTTAAGAATTAATTAATTTCATTTTATAATAAAATTATGTTTCTATACTATAATTGGTTAAATGAGATATACAATCGAGTAAAATAAATGTTAATTAGCTAATAAGTTGTAAGTTTACAGTTCTCATTCTTCATTAAGTTGAGTATCCCCGTCATTCAGTTGAATGACAGCTTAACTTGATAGATTCTTGTATATTGCTTTGCACAATCGACTAAGTTCGAGCATAGAATCAATCAACTTTACATTGAATTGTAATTTATTTATTGGTGAATATGTAGGTCACACTAAAAGTTAGTGTAGCTATCAACTGGTTTATTTTTATTAATGCTTGCAATTAAAAAAAAAGGAATTTCTAGTTGAACACAGATTCACATGGCTTGGTAACTCAACTACAACAGCCAAATATTCTTAACACATTGGTACCTAACAGTATTAGATTTCTATAGTTGCCATCAAGAAAATGTAATGAAAATCTATACAATCGTAATAACCAAATATATGTATATAAGTTTTCTGTAATCAAAAATGTTTTTTACAAAGATTTTTATAGAATATTGGATTGAAGTAATGGGCTGTAAACCTCTTTGTCTTAGGTCAAGCAAACTATTCTCGTATTTTCTTTTCATTTAATAAAATGCTGCTCAAAGTTATCTGCATGCATGTTGAATATAAGAACTAGAAACGGATAATGTAAACTGTAAAATAAGATTCAATAAAAGATTTTTATTAAAAAAATACCTAAATTAGAAATTGGTTTAATAAAGCGAAGAATAGTCTTTATTGCATTTTCCGTATCTTCTTATTAGAATGACTCCACATATTGAATTAGATAAGTAGTTGTGCTATATCTAAAAATCTTAAAACGTAAAAACTGACTTCAACAGCATTGAATATTTTCTATCACTGTCAATAACAACAATAAACCTTTGAAATTGGTTGTTTGGTAATTAATCTTTGTGTTATTGAAAAGAAGGTTTGTGAATAATGTTCAGTGTGCATTTTAAACGACGACCTGAATATATATAAATAATCACTGAGAAATATCAATCTTTGAATGGTCATTTCTTCATAGTTTGAGATGCCACTGTATTATGTACTTTAAAACCTTCCAGATATAACAACTACGACCTAGACTTACTTACTTACGCCTGTTACCCCCAATGAAGCATAGGCCGCCGACCAGCATTCTCCAACCTACTCTGTCCTGGGCCTTCCTTCCTGGTTCCATCCAGTTCTTGTTCATTTTTATCAGGTCTATCTCCATTTCTCTGACTAATAATAAATAATTCGATTGAAACCTAGACACTTTACGACAATTACGCACATCTTTAAAACGCAGATATATTATTCAGTGACTTAAAGTTTTGTCAATATGAATACAGAATATTTTCGATTTACTTACGATTTTACAGTCATTGTGTATATATAACTGAATAATTATTTATGTGATATTGATAAGTGAGGTGAAAGCTTTAATTTACAGTATAATGAGATCCTAATACACAGATCTGGTAAAAAAATATGTAAAAAAAATACTTAAAATTGATTATTCACTAGGTGGTGATCAATGTCATGTATGTCAGGACCTTCTGAGTGCAGATCGAATCCTGTCAATCAAGTAGTCATCAATCAATTGTAAATACATATCAGTCCTACAGGAGGTCAGTCACGACCCGGATAGCTCAGTGGTAACGTCTCTGATTGTGAAACAGAGTGACAGGAGATCAAATCCGTCATCGAGGATCAGCCCCCTCAAAATTACAGGTACACCTTGATGACGAGTGCCATTTAGCATGAAACTCGGGTTCAGGGTTTCCTGTTGACTACTTCCAACGACCATCTTGAAACAAATATACCCTGTACATAGTGAACATTTAGTTATATACTTTTATCCAAGTCATACAAAAAAACTCTACTGTTTTGAGCTTACTTTAACTAAACACTTAAAAAAAAGACTATCTCTCTTGGATCAGCAATAATTATTCTTTATTTGTAAATTTTCTTTTTATATTTATAACTATTTCCATCTTTACCGTTAGATTATAAAAGAAGCAATTTTAATGACATGGGGACGATTAATTTATGAAGAATTTACTGATGATGTTAGAAATGCATGGGGTCATGTTTTAGATGAAATTGTTGGAATTATGGGTGTTGGTTGTTTAATATTTGAAGAAGAAGAAGAGAAAATATTAGAAGAACAAGAAAAAAATGATAATATTCAAGAATTTATTACATCATCTAATGATTATCAACAAAATTATAAAAAATATAATAAAAAAAGTCGTTTAAGTGTAGCAACGGTTCCTAAAGAAGAATTAGATCAGATTTATCCCAATTGTAAATAAAAAGAAGGAAAATCTGAGATTAGTTTATTTCATGAATACTATTTCTTACGAAAATATATGAGTTAAAACTCAAAAATAAACAAACAAACAAAATATTCATTACCAAGTTTAATAAAAAGTTTAATTTTTTTCCTTTTTTGTGCGTGTTTGTGTGTGTTTGTGTGTGTGTAAAATGTTCTTACATTTAATTATATACTGTTTTCATGTTGTAGTCTGGTATGTATATTTCACCTATAAATGTATCTTATATTTTACATTATTCATTAGAAAATAATAATAATAAATATGTTAATTTAATAATATACTTGCGTGTAATAATATAATTTTCATTTTTGGTATATTTTAATGTAATTTCATTGAACTTAATCGCACTTTAAATAAATGAAGAAGAATATGATATATTGAATAAATATGAATTCATTATATTATATAGCTTTACATTAACTGCAAATAGATTAAAATTATATAAGGGTATTAGTAATATCAATACAGTTTTGATATAATTTACTTACTAACTTAAGCCTGTTACTCCTCGTGGGCTACCGACTAGCACTCTTCATCAGGACTCAGTAGCTAAGTGGATAACACAATAACGTCTGAAGCGTACGGTACTAGGTTTGAGTCCCAGAAGGAACATCAACTCTGAGATGAAGGTTTATTCAGTTGGTGAGTCACAATTAGGACGGAACGCGTGTCTAAACTGGGTTTCGCTGCTAGTCACTTTGATATAATTTAGTGAAGTCTATATGATTATTCAAGATAGGGCCTAAAATCATAATAACTACAGAAGGTGAAACATAACATCACACATTTTCAGTGGTATTGTAATGAATGAGAACATAAATCAAGACAATCGAATGTATTTGAATACAAAATTACAGAACGTCCTTATAAAATCTGAAAACCATACAGTTAATACTTCATTTGCAAAATGTCAATTAATTGTCACAAACTTTATTGTTGCCACATTCCCATACCAATTGTTTTCTGTTCCCGTTCTTTCCTCCTTGATCTTCTGCTACTAGACATTTTATTCCTGACTAGCTTTATATACTACTTATATCGACATAAGTAGCACACAGCACGGTATTTACGAATTTTCATTTAGTTATGGTAGCACGTTTATTGGAAAAACAGAGAGAAGAGTTTCTACCAGACGTTTTTAACGTGTTTCTAGAAATCTTCGTCTGAAAGGTAGTGAAGTTTTCAGAAGTGCTATCGACAGGGACCTGATGGAAAAATTAAGTTAAAATTGTACGCTGGTATGACATCTAAATTAAATAACAAACAACCAACACCAATGTTTACTCGATTTTTCCAAATCTAATAGGCATTATGCATTTTCCATTGAACGTATGTGTAGAGTTTAACATTAAAAACAGGCTTTTTTTAAATATCTTTTATCATTTACTTGTACTCACCTAATCAGATCAAGTAACTTCGTTCATTGGTTATTTCCATCTTGATTATGTGATACGGTTTTCACTTTGATGATTACTGAACACTATGCCACCTCCTCTAAGTTCGATTACTACTTTTTGAGATACAAATACATCTTAATTGTAAACATGCTTTAATCATACATTTTGTGTGGTTTAAAGTTTCGTTTTGGACTTTCATATCGACTTCACTATGTATATTAAGTCAAACATTTGTTTAAAAATATAATACTCCCTGTAATTTTAGGCTGTATGAAGCTAGCCAATGAAAAGCAATGAAATAAAATTAATTCGGTTTATTCTGTTAATGTGGTTAATACGATGAATAGCCGAAGGTTATCAGAATTATGTGATATATTTGCGCAATGCATTTCGAACAATGTAATCACACATATACTTTACACATTATACATAAAAAATAAAAGGTCAACTAAACAAATTAAAAGGTAAGCGGAAATGAAGTACACAAAAACACTGTAAAAATCACGCTGGACGGTAAATCAGTATTATCAAGGTAGGATAAGGGAAATAAAGAAACGTTTCTGGACAGAGAAAGGAAATTCCGGTTTCCTTATAACCAAGGCTTCAATAAACCTGTGTATATGCCCTTGAAAATTTTCGTATGAAACTACAAAGGCTCACTTGATGTCAACCTTATGACTGATCTCAACCAAACGTTTCATAATGACGGATGATATTTGCCTATCCTGTGATCTTATTTGACAGTTTGAATTCATTTGCTTTTTAGCCTTCTAAGTGTTTGTTCGGCCACTCTTAGTTGCACTTCACGATTGCTGCTCCCTGTATACTTGTCTCCACACATACATGTAAAATGCTAGACGCAATGGAATGTGACGCAATCGCTTGCATGCTGTTCGAAGTTTTGGTGAAAAAATAGACCTTGATTTCTTGATAATGACGATTTAGGCTGCACACAATCTACTGTTGATAGCTTATTTAGGTTTTTGTTTCAACATGAAGCTGTTTGAGTTACCTCTAAGTTATAAGTTAATATAGACTCATTTTGTGGGTATCAAAAACGTCATACATCTCATTGTATTGCTATCTTTCCAACGATTTATAAACTTCAATGAAGGACCATTATTCATTAGTTTCACTTAACGGCTTCATGTCTCCGTTAATAGTATCGCTAGTACAAGTACGATTGATCTTACCGAATAAGACCTTTATTAATCTACGATTGTAATGGATTGGATGATGACCTTAGAAATTAAGATATTGCACTGTCCATTTTGATTTTCTATATACAAAACGTTTGATGAAACCATTGTCTCTTCTACTAATCAATATGCCTAGAAAGAGGAGCTGGTTATCTATCTGTTCTTTGTATGTAGGAGATCAAGATTTTATGGTTTTATTATTCTTCAACAAACAGTTTAATTAAAAAAGTGTATTTTTAAGACTAACTAGTTTTATGATGGAGTTATTTCAAAGCCATATAGAAGGCCATGAAATATAACAATTTGTATTATAACAATAACTGACTGAACATAATAATCAGGCCCATTAAATTCTGAATCATACCCTCTACACTCACATCATTTAATACTTATGTTTACGACTATGTAAGAGACAATTTCTACTTTCTTGTGTAGACCTTCCTAATAATAATATTTTATTCGATTACGGAAAAATAAGTACTATATAAATGAAAAGTTAATCTATTCCTTCACGAGAGGTAATATGAGTTTGTAATCAAGTGACATTGTTCTATAGGAATAGTTGAATTAAACGACAAAATAGATAAATCTAAGTATATTCCCTTAAATTTGACAATCATCAATTTCAACAGTTAAAGCTAGACCACCATGGAAAATCTATAAGCACTGGATGGCCGTTTCGTTCTATTATGGGACTCCTTAATAGTGTACATCAAGGATCCTGCCTCGCGAGATTCGAAGCCAAGACCTATCAATCCATGGTGGTCTAACTTCAATTGACTCATGATTTCAATTATTGAAATTACTAACATCTTCACAAAACCCCTTCTGATAATCATCAATTTACTTATTTCACTCTAATACATTTAAGCAAGTTGTTAAGCATTTATTTTATCTTAACCATCTATTACTAAAGTAATTTTGTGTTATATATTTTCTTATTAATTAATTAGCCTGATTATCAATTATATAATTAAAAATGGACTCCAATCTTTTTATGTTTTTCTTTTACTATTACAAAAGGGTTATTTCAATAATATACAACTATTAACAAGCATATTTAATAATAAATTTTTGGATTTATTACATCATATAAACCCAAGGGAAATTATTTAATTAAATTTTACTGACTATTCTGTCTCTATGAAAGTATGGTTAGAATTCATTAAAGAGAATAGACAATCAGATGGACCATTTCAAGCATAACTATTGTGAACTAATTTATGCAATAACGCTGTTCTTTTTTCTTTTCTCTGAACAACTTTTTGTTCAGTTCGATATTAAAAAATTAAGCAAAGATTTTTTTTCGAGATTCTTATTTTTATGAATGTTTGATATATTTCATTAGATAAAAATATATACATGAACTGAAGGTTTTGATGAAGTAACATTATGCTATTTTCTGTGGTATTTATATTGAACATAAAATATAGTGACATGTTTCATATACTGAATATCATGAATGTTAGTCAACAATGAATTAGGTAAATTCACTTGATGTTGTTTAACTTGTATCTTCTGATTGTTATTTAGGACTGCCATTGATCACTCTCATGTCCTGGAGTTAACACCAACTCTAGGATGCAAATACATCTAGCTGACGAGTCTGAAATAGGACGAAAAGCGCATTCTGGATTCCACTGTCAGCCATTATTCATCTTTGCTTAAATGAGTTAAGTAGTTGGAATACTGGATTGTATTACAAATACTTTTACAAAATTATTTAACAATATCAGAATCACTGAATGAATACTTAATAAATAAAATGAAATATCTGAAAACGAATATTAAAATGAATGAACTCAATATTTGGTAATACTATAGATTCTGTTACAATTTAGCTAAAAGGTTTTATCTACTGAAGTCAGTTTATGGATGTTTGATGAATTTAGAAATTATTTTCTTAATATAAATGTTCATAAGATGAAGAATTAGTTGAAAATTTTTAGTTGTGGTACTTTTGTTATCACACATGATGGAATCTAAAATCTTTACCTTATCATAAGCATGTAACCACTGGTTCATCTAGGTCAGAATATAATTTTTCTAACTCAGTTAATCTGAAATTACAAAGGAACCACTTATATTTTTATTAATTAAAAAATGCATAACAAAATTTAATTTCTCCTGGGGCCTCTCTGAGGGTACTGCCTGTTCTAAACCCGTTTTAGGAGGAGGGTTGGGCATTGGGTTAGTTATCCCATCCTGTAATAAACGAATTCGCTAAACATACGCTTACCAAAAATATAACGATTGAAACCATAGCAGATATTTCAAGTAATGAAAGATCGCTTAAGACTTGAGAATTTTACTGACTCAAAACTCTATTGAATTAATAATACTTTATTCTTGAAATATAGTTTAGTAAATATCTTAATTACATCATGAATAGCTAAAAAAACTTATAATTTGTTTATTGAGTCTAATACAAACATAATCCCTCTTTATATACTGAAAATTATTGAAGATATGTTGATTTGCACATCGCTATTCTAGTCAACTGCATCAACTTACGTAAGAATTTGAAATCGAGTTCAAGTGAACTCTAACTGTATTTTAATACCTTGGGAAATTGTTGAGTATTTAAGATTTACATAAATGATAAGACACAATAGTACAAAACATTGTACTATTTAAACTTCATTTAATTTTGACTTGGTTATTTACTCTGTGAAGAA